CTTCTTGTTCTTCTCCTGGGCCACATCTGACATCCCCTTCAGCACCTGCTTGGCCTGGTCATCCTGAGCGGAGTCCTTGCGCCGCCGGAGCCGCATCTTGCGGGCCAGGGGGTCCTTGGTGCCGCTCCCTGGGGACACGGGGACAGGTTGAGGGGCCCCTGAGGCACCCATGTCTCTCACGGGGGGCAAGGCTCGCTTCCCAACCTCTTCCAGGGCGCTGCCCGAGGCAGGGGCTCTCCGTCCCCCCCCCCCAGCCCTGCACACTTACCTGCCGCGGCGGCTGCGACGGTGGCCGGGGAAGCTCCGGCCAGGCGGAGCTGGTTCTGCAGGGAGAAGTCGATGTTGTACCACTCCGACGTCCGATCCACCGGCTTCGGGGGCATCACCAGGTTGGGGTTCTCACGCACGTCCAGGATCTGCCAAGGAGGTGAAGGGAGACCTCAGTGCTCTGAAGCGTGGGCTCACGGGGGCACAGAGGACGCGGGGTGGGACAGGAGACCTCCGGAGCACCCCGGGCTTGGGTGAAATGGAGGGAGCCCCTAAATCCACCACCTGCCTGGGCTGAGCCGTGTGCCAGACTGCACGTATTGGCCTCAGGATCCTCCGTCCTCACCTCACCCCATCCCACCCTACAGCCCCAGGGATCCCAGGGACACGCCGGGGCTGCGGTGGGACCCAGCCTGAGATGGAGGGGGCGTTGGGTTCTCACCTCCACGTCCGTTAGGAAGTGGATGGCTTCCGGCAGCGTCACCAGGCGATTCTTGTTCAGCACCAGCTTCCTCAGCTTGGAGCACCTGTGGGACACAGAGATGCTGGTGAACGGCCAGGCCAGGGTGACACCCTGTCACCACACAGCCTCCCTGTCCCCCTCCTGGGGACAGAGCAGAGCCAGTTGAGGGCTTTCCCCTACCTGCACAGGCTCTCGGGGATGAGCTCCAGGTTGTTGTTGGCCGCCATGAACTCCTCAAGGTTGGCGAGCTTACCGATGCCCGAGGGGATCCCGTCAAAGTCGAGCTTGTTGGAGTTCAGGTACATCTTCTTGAGCTTAGTCAGCTTGCAGATGGCTGACTGGGGAAGGAGGAGACGGCGGGGTGAGGGAGAACCCGGTGGCACGGAGGCAACGGGCAGGGACGCCACGGATGGGCAGGGACATACAGGCAAAGAGGTGAGCTGGTTGCGGGACAGGTTGAGGGTCTCCAGCTGGGTCCACTGGTCGATACAGAGGGACAGCTCCATGATCTGGTTGCTGCTGAGATTGAGGCGCCGCAGGCTGCCCAGGGTGTAGAGGCACTCGGGGACGCGACTGAGGTCGTTGCAGGACAGGTCCACGTCTGGGGGAAGATAACGGGGTGACGCCGCCGGCCGGGCCCACGCCAGGGCTGGGACAGCCCCGTGGGGCTGGGTGCCCTGACCCTACCTGCCAGGTTCACCAGGGCCTCCAGGCTGGTGGGCAGATTGTTCTGCGTGCGCTGGGTGTTCCTGAGGTGGAGAGTCTGCAGGGCCGTCATCGCGGGGAGCTGCCTGCGCACCACGGGGCAGAGACAGCGTCAGGGCTGGAGCAGGCACCCAGCCCAGCCCAACCACCGTGGGATCCAGCCTGGAAAACGGGGTCTTTACCGGAGCTGGGCGTGCAGGAGGGGGTTGTTGTTGAGGATGAGGGTCTGGAGGTGGACCAGGCGCCTCATCTGCGGCGGGAGGCTCTCCAGCTTGTTGTTGCTCAGGTCAAGGTAGAGCAGGTCCGTCAGGTTGATGAAGAGCTGGTTGGGGATGGTCTCGATGCTGTGGGAAAAGGGGGTTCTTCAGGGCTGCCTGGGACCTGCACCAGCCCTGGGTGTCCCTCAAAGAGGGGCAGAGAGCAGGACCTGGAGGGAAGGGGGGTGATGGATGGAAGTGCCCGTGGCCAGGAGGAGATGGCTGCCCTGGCCTGGCCCTACCTGTTGTGGCCAAGGTTGAGAACCAGCATGTTCTTGGCGTTCTCCAGTTCCCGGGGACACTCCGTGAGCTGGTTGTAGCTCAGGTCCTGGGGCAAACGGTAAAACAAACCAGGCATCACCCTCTGCCCTGCGACCACCACCCGAACCCGAGGACCCATCCCTAAGGGAACCGGGTAGTGCTGAGCCCTGATTTACTCCCTGCACCTTTCCCCGGGCGCTCCTCAGCCCCTCCGTGCTCCCCAAGGGGCACGAGGGGCCACCGAGGCGCAGGACCAGGACCTGGGAGTCTGTGCTGGCTCTTGCGTGAGCCAAGGAGATTCTGCACCTACCAGCACCGAGAGGTCATCCAGCTGGAAGATGTCATCGGGGACTCCCGAGTTCTTCAGTCTGTTTGCCCGAGCAACGATCGCCTTGAAAGGGGAGAGAGGGGCACGACTGCAGCCACCCGCCGGCTCCGCGCCTGCGGAGACCCCCGGGGTGGCCAGGGACGATCCCAGTGTGTCCCCAGAGCCAGGGGCTGGCCGAGAGGTGCCTGGGGACCACCAGCCCCCATGCAGGTGGGATGCACGAGGAGGGGACGCTTACCCGGAGGCAGGGCAGGCCGGAGAGCTCGCCGTGGAGGGTGGTGAGGCTGTTGTGACTCACGGAGAGGTGTTCCTGCAGGGAAGCCCCACGCAAGCCCCAGTGAGCAGAGAGAGGAGCCAGGGCTGTGCGGGGCAGTGGTGGGGTCCCTCTCCCTGGTGTGTGTGGGGGTGTCTTGATCCCAGGGGAGTCAGGGGCTTGCTGAGGACCAGGGGGTGAGCTCAGCCCTGACCCACATGAGGCGGCTGGGATGCTCTCAGTCTCCAACTGCTTGGTTGGCCCCAAAGCACCCACGCTGCCTCCGCACCCCTCGTTCCTTGGGGCAGACGTGGCTCAGACGCCCCGGCCCTGCTGCAGGGTTCGGGGTGCTCCGGGCTGCCCCCGAGCAAAACGACCTCAGTTCTTGGAAATGCTTCTGACTGGGGGATCTGGAAACGGGCAGACATGTGGGGACCGGCAGGGTGGAAGGAGGGCCTTAGGGGGAAATTTTTTGTTTTCCTCCGGGCTGTTACCTGCTCAGAAAAATGAGGAATTGGCAGGCTGTGGGGGAGATGCCAGGTTTTAAGCCTAGCCGTGGCCCCTGAGCATCTGGCAGGGCTTCCCCGCTCGCTGCCGCTGAGCAGGGCGCAGCTGGCACGGTGACCAGGACTTTTGGCAGCGTTTTAAAGCGTTTATGTTTGTCTGACGCCGATTTAACAACGTCCGTAACGTGCTGCAGGACACCGCCAAAGCAAAGTTTAGCCACGGACTCCACCAAGGGCCCGGTCGTGCACAAAACTCGAGCTGCCCAAAAAACAAAGCCAGGCAGCTGCCAGCTGCTGCTCTTTATATCTTTCAGCAAAGGAGGAGGGAAAAAAATCCCCCAAACCTTAATCCTGCAAATACTAAACCTTTACCCTTCCGTTCTGTTAAAGGGCAGGGGATCTAAGCGTGGCTTTTTGTCTGGTTTTCTAGGAAAACAAGGTGAAACCGAGTACAAGTCTGCCTCAACCCCACTCCTAACAGCTCCATGCATCCAGTTTCAACCACACGTCCTAGCTCAGCCCTATTATTAGACACCAGAGCATCCGCTGATGAGCCACGAGGCTGGCAGGCACCTGGCAGCGCTGCGCAGGGCCCTGCCTGACCCCACAGCCCCGGTGGGAGCCATCGAGCCTCAGCCCCTGCCCGAAAAGTGCCGCTCACCAGCTTCTGGAGGGCAGCGAGCTCCTCGGGCAGGTAGCAGAGCCCCGTGCGGTTCAGCTTCAGCCAGCGCAGGCTGGTCATCGCCTTCACGTGCTCCGGGAAGTAGCCGCCCTGCGAGGAAGAGGAGGAGGAGGAGGAAGGTTAGAAAAACAGCTGCCCCACGGGGTGAGGGGCTGGGGACCTGGGTCTGATCGGCCCTAGGAGGTCGGGGGGGGGGGGGGGGGGGGAACATGGGATCGCCCAGTTCTATGGGATTGGGAGCTGGGGGATTGGGATTGGGAGCTGGGAGGGGACGAGGATCACCCAGTCCCATGGGATTGGGAGCTGGGGGATTGGGATTGGGAGCTGGGAGGGGACGAGGATCACCTAGTCCTATGGGATTGGGAGCTGGGGGATTGGGATTGGGAGCTGGGAGGGGACGAGGATCACCTAGTCCCATGGGATTGGGAGCTGGGGGATTGGGATCTGGGGGGGACTGGGATCACCTAGTCCTATGGGATTGGGAGCTGGAGGGGACTGGGAGTTGGGGGACTGGAATCACCCAGTTCCATGGGATTGGGATCGGGGGGGAGAGGGATCACGCAGTCCCACGGGATTGGGATCCGGGCAACGGGGATTGCCCAGTCCCATGGGATTGGGATCTGGAGGACTGGGATCGCCCAGTCCTACGGGACTGGGAGTGGGGGGGACTGGGAGCTGGGATCGCCCAGTTTTATGGGATTAGGCCCCGGGGGGCACCACATCACCCGGCTCCCTGGGGCCCCGTGGGTTGAGAGGGGGGGTACCCCAGCTGTAGAAATTGGGGGTCAGGGATCGCGGGTCCCTGTCGTGCCCGTGGGATCAGGGGCCAGGGCTGAGCACCAGAAACAGGACCGGGGCGGGGCAGGACAACGACACCACCCAGCTCCTCGGGACCAGGGCCGGGGGGGTGTCCGGGCTGTCCCTCCCCGCTCCCGGGGTTCCCCCCGTTTCCCCCTCCCGCACCTTAAAGTCGTTGCCGCTGAGATCGACGCCGCGGACGAAGGGCAGGACCCCGGTGGCCGCCATGGCGGAGGAAGAGCTGGGGGGACCCGGCAGCCGCTCGCCCCGGTCCGGCCACGCCCCTTTTTCCGCTCAGGCCACGCCCCGGCGGTGACGTTTCCGGCGGGCGGAGCCGGGTTCTGCTTCCGAGCGCGGGTGGGCGGTGCCGCCGCGCGACGCGCTCCTATTGGCTAGGGCCGGGGGGGGGGCGGGGGCTGCGGGGCGCGCCGGCACGCGCGGACGCGGGAGTGAGTGCGGGCGAAGGGGGGGGGGGGGTTTGCTTTGCTCTTGCCCTTGAGCGGGTCGCGGCCCGGCCGCCTCCCCTGGGCAGCGCGGGAGTCTCCATCCCACCCCACCTTGGGGATATGGGCCCCGGTGTCCCCCCCTCCCACCCCACCCTGAGGGTTCCCCCGGAAGCGGTTTCGCCAGGGATTGGTGAGAAATACGGGGGTGCCCCCCCCCCCCCCCCCCCCCACTCTGCGGGGTGACCCTTGTTCCTCTGCCTCACCCCAGCTTCTAGAGCAGGGAGGCCGACAGAAATCCCAATTCCCCCCCAAGAACCAAACAAACAAACTCTGCGGGCTCTGCTTGTGTCGTGTCGTGTCCCCCCCCCCCCCCCCCCCCCCCCCGCGGGTGACACCTCGCTGACCCTTTTCTCCCTCCGCAGGGCGACCATGGCCGAGTTCGCGGGCCGGCGGGGCAAGCGGCAGGAGGACGGCGGGTTGGGCCACGTCCTCGACCTGCTGTTGGCCAACGCCAGGCTGGTGCTGGGCATCAGCGGCGCGGCCGCGCTAGCCATCGCCACGCTGGCCGTCAAGCGGGTAAGGCTGGGGCTCGGGGGGGGGGGGGGGGCCACGGCTGAGGCGCCCCGTGGAGGAAAGCTGTTTTGGTGTGTTTCCCCCCCCCCCCCCGCCCCTTTCCTCTCCCTGGTTGTGAGGGAGGGGAAGGTGCACCCCCAAAACTCGCTGGGCGCTCCCGAGCGCCAGAGCTGGTCCTTTGAGTCTGGGTGCTGACACCTCGCTTTGCGGGGGGTTCACTGTTTGCCCGGAATGGCACGCTTTTGGGATGCAGCTTGGGCTTAATTCACCTTTGGACACCTAACTGTTTTCCACTTAAAATCTACAGGAGGAAAACGCGCACCTTTGTGGTCCCCTAAACTCATTTTTGCTAGTAGAAGCCGTGCGTGGGGCTGTGTTTCCCTGTGCGTGTACCCAAGGGACTTTTACCCCCCCTTAGTTCAGGGTGTGGCTATGGGGCAATGGCCCAAAGATAATAAATTGCCCACGTGGGTTTTTCTTCCCTCCAGCTGATAGACCGAGCCACCAGCCCTCGCGATGAAGGTGATCCCAAAGCTGAGCAGAAGACCCTGGAGGAGAGCTGGCAGGACTTGGCCTTGATCAAGGCAACGCCAAAACCCGCCAAGAAGCAGAGAAGGGAAGACCTCAGCCAGCCCCTGCTCCCTCCAGCTCTGCCGCTGGCACCAGGTGAGGCTCACGGCGTTGGTGCCGGCTCCTGCCGCGGGCGGGAAGATCACCTTGATGTGCTCTGGGCTGGCTGTGCCGCTGCTCCCGACGGTCTGGGAGCTCCACGTTATTTTTAGCTCGGTGCCCGGAAAGCTGAGTCAATTTAGCCTGTCCTCCCGGGAGGCTCCCAAACCACGGCCCCTTTTTAGGCAATGCCGGTGGTAACGGCACCTCTGATAACGTCCCGGGCGTCTTGGCCGCTGTGGCGTGGTGGAGGCTGTCGGGGCTTTGTTTCCTCTGGAGCAGTGTCTGTTGTGCTCCGTTTCTGGGTCAGCTCTGCCTAGAGGAAGATGCGCTCCCGAGCTGCGGCAGACAAAGCCTGCCTTGTCTGCCTACAAAAATGGTGGTTTTCCAAGTGGGAAAGCAGCCCAGCTCGGTGCAGGGCAGGTCCTGAGATACCAGACCTGGATTGTTCCCAGGACTCAAGGGATCAGGCAGGCATGGGGCAGGCTGGATCTGCCTGAGCAGTCTCAGTGGGGCTGAGACTCGTAGGGACCCTGGCAGTGAGTCCCTTGCCCGGCTGCTGGTGCTTAGCCTGGCTTACCCATCTCCAGCTGGGGGGCGAGGCGGGGTGCTCTCGGGTTTTGAGGTTAGTTTGAGCTCTGCCGTGGCTGCGAAGTGCTGTGAACGTCGGAGGACGTGGTGGTGGCCCTCTTGGCAAGGTCAGCTTCCTGTCCAGAGAGGTGGACTAAGAGCTGGGCACCCAGCTCACGCCTCCCCCTCGGCTGTGGCCGGAGAAGCTGCTGCTGTAGGTTGCAGACAACCTGCTCAGAGCCGTGACTTTTCCCTTTCCTCTGTCCCATCCCCTTCTCGCAGAGCCCAGGGTCTGCTCTGCCTCTCTGGAGACTCCTCGGGTCGAATCCAACCCTCCGCGCTGCCTCACGCTGCAGGAGAAGCTCCTCTTCCACTACAGCAGCCGGCTGGCCGTGCCGAAGGCGCAGGTGTCCCTCGCCCTGCAGCTGGCCAGGAGCATCTGCCATCAACTGCAGAACTTCCTGCGGAACAAGTGCCCAGAGCTGCCCTTTGGCAGCCTCTTCCTCAGCGGTCCCCTACTCGATGGCCTCGGGGCGCTGGCGGCCGACCACATCCACCTCATGCTGCCGGTGGTCCTCGACACCACGCTCTGGAGCCTCATCCCAGGAGAGGACACCGTGGTGAGGAACCCCCAGTACTGGATGATCAAGAGGACTGATCTGGAGTATTTCCCTCGTGGGCGCAGCCCCTGGGACAGGTTCATCGTGGGCCGGTACCTCTCCTCCAACGCGCTCAGCGAGACCCTCCACAAGATGCTGGTGGCCTCCATCAACTGGCCGGCCATAGGCAGTCTGCTGGGGAGCATCATCCACCCAGTCGTGGCCTCCCAGGAGCTGAAGCTGGAAGTCAAACACGATCAGGTCGAGCTGAGCATCACCCTCTTACCAGTGGTGGAAATGGAGGACAAGGTTCTTCTGGCTGCTCCTCCTGAAGGGCTGGTGGAAAATCTCTGGCTGGAGAGTTTTTACAGGGCAGAGGTCTCAAAGGTGAAGGAGCTGGATGCTGGTGACTCCGGGGCTCGGCAGCACTGCCTCCGCATCCTGAATGGCATCTGCAAGAGCCATCCTGCCCTGCACAAACTGAGCGGCAGCCCCTTGACCCACGTTGTCCTTCACCTCAGTGCCACCAGTTCGGACTGGGCAGAAGAAAGCCTTGCGGACAGGTTCCAGCAGGTGCTTGAGGAGCTGGTAGGCTACCTGGAGAAAGGGGTCCTGCCTTCCTATTTCAACCACAAAATCAACCTCTTCTGTGAGCTGTTGGAAGAGGAAATCGATGAGATGGGCTTCACGCTCTACAGGGCCATATCCGAGCCAGAGCTCCTGCTGAAGGAGAAATGACTGGTGTGTCGGGAGCTCCCGAATGTAGGGTGTTCCTCTCCCATCTGCTGCTCCCCGCTGTGAGGGTTGCAATGCTTCTAGTTGACTAGTCAGTAAGAGGCGAAGTTCTTGCACTTTATGAGAGATGGAAAAAAAAAAAAAAAATTTGTCTGAATAAAACGTGCCTGAACAGAGGTGGGTGTTGGCATAAGGAGCCTTTGGCTGGGAGGCTCTGCCAAACCCAGGCGAGTGCAGCCCGCACCTCCAGTACCTGCAGGTGAGTCCTGGGCTTTGGGAGCCGACGTGAAGCATGTTTGGTCTCTGGTTCCCGGTGTCCTCTGTCTGTCCCAGCCTGCTGTCCCAGCTGCCAGGCTCCCCTCGTGCTCTGAGACCAGCAGGACCTGGAGGGGAGCAGCTCCTTGCTGCTGCTGTCTCCTGCAGACCCCACAGGTACAGCGTCCTGGGTGGGTCCTTTCACCAGCACCCATCTTGGTCTTACTGTGCCATGCCCTCAGGCCAGCTTTTGGGACAGGGTGGGTGCCTCATCTATCTGTAGGATATCTGAAATAAAGCCCCAGTGATGACCTGAGTGGTTGTCTGGGCACTTGAAGGTAGAGCCATAGCAAATGGGGCTGTGGATTTATTCTCTGGAAACCCTTTCAGTTGCCAAAAGGGCAGAGCTCAGCCCTACCTCTTCCTTCTGCCGGTATCGGCTCTGCCCCGAGGAAGGGGTGTGCTTCCAGCATGGCGCTGGGGCTTTGTGGCCCTTGTCCCACACAGTGTTTTGCTGGAAGGTGTCCCGAAAAAGGTGGTGGCAGGAAGATTGCTGCCGACTCCTGGGAGACTCCCGGTATCGGTGGAGGCTGCAGCAGGGCTGTGCATCCCCTCCCCGGCGGGTCCTCGCTGCTCTGCAGCCAACCACGGGGTCTCTTTCCAGTCTGTCCAGAGACCTTTTCACACAAGTATTGCTGCTGTCTTGAGGTCCAGGGAACACCCCTGGAGCCCCATGGTATGGGGGCAGGAAAGTAGGACAGGAATGATGCTCCGAGCAGAGCGCTTGCAAGAACTGAAGTGGTTTCTGCTTTTTATTAAGAAGGTATGTTTTGTTTGAGTATTTTGTTTTTTTCCTTTTGAGTGGCTGCTAGTAGGCTTTGGTTCTGGCTCTAGTCCCAAGGAGAAGGAATATATTATTGTATTTAATAGGAAGAGCTGGTTTTGCACCCTGGTGGAGATGGAAAAATCCTGTGGACTTGTGGTTTAGTTTTCTTTACAGCTATCATCTTGTTTATGGGAGGAAAATAAATCCTGTGCTTTTCCTCCCACTCTGAAGATTACTTAGTTTGTTCCTCCAAACCGCTTCCCAGGTGCTAGCGATGAGAATAAACCTTCCCTGTGTATACTGGTTCTCTTGTGTCAGCTCCCTTTTGTCTCCTCTCACGTGCTAAGGGCTGAAGGGAAGCTCCAGCTGCGGTGGCATGCCCGAGAACCACCCAGCGCTGCCCAGGGCATCCCCCCTGTGCCAAGAGCTTGGTGGGGGTCAGACCCTGTCCTGCAGGGCCTTTCTCCTCCTCTTCCAGTGCCTGGCTGCTGCATGTGAGCCGTCTGGACACGGAGCTCGTCCCATTTCCCCAGCAGCTCCAACTCCTCAGCTGCCTGAGCAGCGCCCAGGGTTAGACCAGTAAAGCTGGTGGCGGCTGATGCCATCGGTCGTTATTTAACCTGCTGCCAGCGCGCTACACAAATGCTTTCCCGCTGCTGTTGCCATTCAGAGGCTGCTGCCCAGGCTTCTGCAGTGCTCTCACCAGCTCGGTGATTGCATTACAAAGCCTCGTAATCCTGTTATTTTAGCCAGCAGGTCTGTATTTTTAGGCCACAGCTGTTAATCGTGGGAGTGGGGGGGTACAGGGAAATGCAACCTGAGTTCTCCCGACCTCACTCCATAGAGCGATGGACCGCTGCGGAGTTAAAGGTGCTCTTCTCATCTCGTGCAGCAGCCTTTAAGGTGAACCCATGCTACTGTGGTCTTCTCTGCACTGAGGTAGCCCCTATAGAATGTGTTTCAGCCCTGGCTGCTCTGTGTGCTGCCAGTCACCTCGGTACTGACCCCGGGGAGCTGCTCTGTGTCTGGGAGCAGCGTCCTGAGCAGCATTGGAGGCCCTCGGGAAAAACTGAATGCTGTCCTCCAGAAGAGGATGTGGGAATCCTGTGGATCTACTTTCTTTGATGTACAGAGGAAGTCCCAACCGAGAGGGAGGAGGTAGCTTGGCTTCCCAGGGAGTTCAGCCTAAACTAAGTGCAGGGAAACAGAACCTCCCTTCAGTTCAGCCAGCTGTCTGTCTGTCCCTGGGCAGCAATACTACAGCAGATGCAGCTGGTGAAATAAAACCACTTTCCTTACCCCTCTGCAGCTCCTCACTTCTAAATAACTGCAGGGAGTTTCTGCCAAGAAAGCTTTTGTATTGTTCTGATGAGTGAGTGGAAAGAGCAAGAATTTGGGTGGATGCTTTTATGGTAATAGCTTAACTATTTTAAGGAGGAAGAAATAATAAGGCAGAGTTAAGATGTCACTCTATCAAATCTAAAAATTAAATAATGTTTTAATAAGAAACTTACTAGTTTCACAGAAATAACTTCCATTAGCAGCATCAGAGAGGCATGCCTCAAGGTTTGAGGAAGAACTTGGTTTCAAATTCTGAACTGTCTAAAATGAAGGCTCTTCCTGAGCACTGCAGCTGAGCTTCCATTTCAGGGCAAGCACCAGCTCCAGTTTCTCTGGCCCCCCTTCACTGGCAGGGACAACCAAGGTAAGGGGGCATGGCCCTGTGACAAAATAGGAAAGGGGAATGTTGCTCAGGTAACGTTAACGTGGAAGGGAACTTAAAATACAACTCCACACTGTGGAAAGCCAGGGAGTGAGAAGAGCTAAGCAGCCCTGGTGTCTGTCCGAGTGGCTACGAGCCAGCTCCTCCTCGCGTGGAAAGACCGCGTACAAACCACCGCCGTGGCAGGAGCTGCAGGTGGACTCGATCCAGTGCTGTTTTCTCTGCAGATTCAATTTCCAAAGGCTTCCTTGAAATGTTCAGACTATGCCAATCTGCTCAGCAGAAGGGCAGCTGAAAAAGGCTGACACCAATTCTGGAGCCACCTTTCAAATCTGGTTGAACCCTTGCTGCCCAGGCATGTAATGCACGTGTGAGGACGGTATCCCTTGGCAGGAGCAGCCTGCAGCCAGCCCTTCCAGAAACTCAGACTTGTTTCTAGACTCCAGTTCCTTTCAGCAGTAGCTGCTCACAACTCTGGGACCGTTCAGGCTCTCAAGAGATATCCATCCAGGCTCAGTGGCTTTGAGGGCAGGTTTTCCTAGTGTGGCCAGGCTGGTGGCAAATGCTACAGGTCCGTGATTTCTTGGCAGTGGCTCCTGAGGAGAAACTGCCTGGTCTCTTGGCTGTGCTTCCCAACCCTCTTGAGTATCCACTGCTGCCAAAGTGGTTCAAAGAGACGTCTCCAGAAGGCCCTAGAGAGAAACGCCTTGCATTTGAGTACCTTTGAAAATCTAAGTAGGTGAGAAACAGAAGATAAACACAAAATGGCAGATCAAGGATTTTACTATCCCAGCCACTCAGATTATTCCTGAAACTACACTTGCTTCACATTTGTCTAGACAGTTAAATGTCACCCATTTGTCTTGCAGCATTAGAGAAATGTGGGAACAGAACAAGGGAAACCAATCTGCCTGGTTGCATGCTCTGGTCTACAGCTGAAGCAGAAACAACAAAACATGCCAGGGGAAAACTTGGTTTTTAAATAGTTTTGAAAATTTGATTCTACCCCTTTAGGCCCAAATGTCTAAGGAAGAGGCGGCCAGTGCTGAAGATCTCTTGCATCTCCACCTCTCTACTTTGCTTGCTGTACCTTTGTATCAGTATTCTTTCTTTCACATCCCTATTGTGTGATTTATTTATTTATTTTTTTTTTAATGGGTAGTTTCCAGCATCTTTCCACAGCAGCCACACTCAGCTTCTCAGCTCTGATCAAAGCTTGAGAAAGACTTGGCCTTTCACTGCATTCCTCAACTAGGGCAGAGGGAGCAGCACAGTTTCCCTGGCATGACAGAATGGGGTTTAAGATCTCCAAAAGTGGTGCCACTGCTTCAACTCCGCAGTAAGTCAGTAACGGCTCTCACAAAGCTGAGCACCATAATTTGGGAGGACACATTCCCAGACAGGCTGTTGAAAAGAGTGCTGGGCTTTATCCAGCGAGTTGTGGACAGACAGACGCTCAAGCTTACCACATGTACAAGTAAAGCATCCTGCTCGGAGCTCAGCAGATGCGTGCTACGAGGACATCTCCTGCTAGCACTCAGAAAGGTAAGCCAGACTCAGTTGTTGCAAGCAACATTCGAAGTGCTGTAATGCTGCTGACAGATGTTCTAAAGACAAACCTGGAGTCTGTTAAATGTATGAGTTGCTGTAAGAGCTGTGGTAGCACTGCACGTGTGTGAGAAGCGTGTTCCACTTAGCTTCAAGAACAGCCTCCAACCCTCGCGACTCACCCCAAGCCCAGCCTTACCTGGTGCCACGTTTTCATCTGCCCACTGGAAGAAGCCACACTGCTGCTCTCGGGGTTTAGAGCAGGTGTGGAACTGCCTCCCTTTGTTGGGCCCATCCTTTTGGACAGTGCGCGTGACGACTGGCTGGTTGCATCTGCAGACTTTGCTGTCTCCTGAATCGGAGCTGTTGCTTCCAGAGAACTCTGGGCCTCTCCCTCCTCCTGGGCGCTGAAATCCTGCTGGGCCCCTTCCTGCAAAGGGCTGGGGCAGCGCAGAGCCCTGTGGAGCCTCGTTGCTTCTGTCCTCTGACTGCTGATCAGCCCAGAGGAAAAAGTTGCAGGTACTGGTGCTGCATTTGTAAAACTGCCTGCCTTGATTGGGCCCTTCTTTGCGCACAGTTAACAGCAGGGCTTCGTTCCCACAGTTGCACACCACAGCGTTGTTCCCATCGTCTGGAGCAGCTGAAGGAGCAGGTCTGGGTGTTCTTGTTGAGCTCAAGGAGAGTAGATGTCCTGGTGCCAGGTTTGCAGTCCCCCTCGTTTGCCTGTTTTGATCACTAGCTCTGTTAAAGGAGCTGTTGACTTGCAAGTGATTAGCTTGCTGGCTGGCTGACGACGCGGGTTGGGATGGTCTGTGTAAATACTTCAGGTCCAAGAGCTCTTTTAGCAAATCATCACAGCCTCCAATGCAACCAACAAACTCCAGGGGCATCACAGGTGGAACACTGCCTCTCTTGAATTTAAACTTCAGCCTAAAAGGAAAGAAAGAATGAAAGTCTCACATCTAACTCCTCGTCAACAGACCTCAATTTGGACTTGATTTTTTTTAATATTTTTTTAAAATCCTTCTATGCTTACGCTGGTTTCCCCAACCCCTCTTCTTTCTAACCCAAAGCCATGAGAGTGTTACTCCAGCTTTCCAAGACTAGAATTGAGAACAATTGCCCAGCGTAGCCCATGGAAGTCTCTGGCCCTAATGGCTAACACGTAATGTCTGAGAGGTTGTGCTTCCCAAGGGGTAACTGGTATGACCCACCTGTGAACTGGATGAGGTTTACACACACCACAGACGCTCTCATCCCTGGCCACGTCCAGCACAAAATCAGGAAACCAGACTGCGGTTTTACAGGCTGGGTAGCCCATGCAGCTGAGATAGAACCTGCCGTGGGACAAAGGCACTGGATGAGGACGAGGCAAAAGTCAAGACAGTCAGTGATCTGTTCTCCTGTCTTCTCAGCCGTCAGAAATTGCCAAAACAATTTTTAAGGGCAAATACGTACTTGAGAGAGAGGGTTAGCTGAGTCCACACAGCTTACGTAGCTGGTGGAGTAAGCTAGCTGCTGCCCAAGTTTCCATGCTTGCTGCAGAGGGGAGGTTAATGAACAATGCCTAGAAAAACACAGACTGACACAGAAGGCTACTTTCTACAACAGGGAAGATCACCAACCCGCCAGTCTTCTTGGTCTTCAGCACCATGTCGTTGTTGCACTGTGGACACTTCCGAACGGAAACAGGCATTGCTGGGTAGACCTCCCCTTGCTCTGCAATTTCTGTGGCTTCTCCAAAATACTGAGCCAGGGCCTGGTCCAACCTATAAAGAAACAAGCAGAGCATGTGTGTAGCTCCTCTGCAAAGAGCAGCTGGGTGCTGCAGTGAATTAGCACCTGCTGCCCTCCACCCAGCCCCTCTGAGCTTCTCCACGAGGACGTTGATTCAGCACCATGCCTCTGAAACAAGCTAGGTGTGGGTACAGTTGCCATCTCCTTCAGCCTCCTCTGAATTGAATCTTAAGGGTTTAAACTAAGATGAGCAGTTAGTTGGCACAAACCCATGACAGTGTGCCAGGCTGCGAGTCA